GCAAACACACACAAAGACACACTCACACAGTAAGAAATTGTTTGAAAAGAATGAGATAATAGAGGGGCAATCACGGGAAAAGCTACGTAGCAGGAAAGAAAGCATGTCAAAGAAATTTGTGCTTCCTGTCCTGTTGACTTCTATCATTTTACTGAAGTGTTTAAATAAAAGGAGCTGGCTAAAAAAGAAAAAAAGGTGTGGATTTGTCACAGCACTAGTTAAAATGAAAGTGTTATCACTTAGCTGTAAAGAGAAACAGATGTGTTGTATTTTCAGATGATAGGGGTCGATATGCAGAGTGCCGTGCAGTGTGTGGGTGGATGGTAGGCAGAGGGATGACCATAGGGTTTAGGGAGCGTGCCATGTGAGCAGATGGTCTCTGGTTGCCACCCAAGATCCCATTAAGAAAGATGGCAGGACTGACCTATTTCTGGACCCACCGTGTCAGGCAAATCCACTGCACCGGGAGATAGGGGGAATATCTACATTCAGTGGTTATAATCCTTCGCTGTTTTTGTTGAACATTATGGGATTACACACATTGTCACTGTAACAATAATGCAGGAATCTATTACATGATACGCTGGGCTCATGTAGCACAAGAAGTTAGCCAACTCATATTTCCAGCTGTCCGAGTAGTTGCTTCCTCAGACGTTGTGCCCTTGAGCGCTTAATTAGGTCTTTCAGGAAAAACAACTGGGATGATACGGTTGTCGAAGTAACTGATGAGCTATCCACAGCCTGACGGGAGGTGCGCTCTTTTTCCACCTATGTTCCCGTACGCTGTCCCTTTGCGTGGACAGCTGTCTCATAAGGGCTCAGGGAGACACATTCTTCTGAGTGCACAGTACAGTCAATTAGTTGCTGCTCTGCATAAGCCTTTTTCCACCTGTCGATTAATCAAAAAAAACTTCATCACAAACTGGAACCTGCTAAAAATGCTGTGATTTTCTTCTCTTCTAATTTCAATCACTGTGTTAAAAAAATACATGTTTTCCCTTGGACGCAAACTTAGTGTTTGTATTTGATAAAGCGGTATTACAAAGGTGTGGAGAAAAAAAAGAGCTAAACAACAATAACTACTAACCCATACAGCAGAACAACACTGGCTCACGCAGGCAACATTTCATCTCACTGGCATCTTTTTTTGTTGGTGACATGTTGGATATACTACGTGAGGGGTTGTTGGGGGTGGGGTGGGGGTCTTTTGGGTAAGTCACAAAAGCTATGGTGAGGAAAAAATGTATTATCAGCACCTTTGCCTTACACACACACACACACACACACACACACACTTTTTTGTTCTTCTGCAATTTTCTACTTGTGCAGCCTGTGGCTCACCAATGGGATTATTTTTCAAGACATGATCGCCAACAACCAGAATGATCAATTCCCATGCAGCATGTCCGGTCCTGATGGCCATGCAGCGTAGGCGAATGTGTGCTCATTAACATTTCTTTCTGATCAGAGCAAATTAGCTCGGTAAAGTCACTGCACATCATTTAAAAAAATAAAAAAAAAACAAAACACAGGCATTGCCTTACTCGTGCTGGCATTTCATCACAGTATGGAGCAGCATAGTTTCCTAAGCTCCAAAATACATTTTACAATTGCTTTCCCACTGGTCAGGTGCTCAGAGGTAACTTTTTCTTCTGAATAGCACCGTAAGTTGGCAGGAATTTGTTGGGGTGAACTCTGTTGTAAAAAACACATGAATAGTACAAAGGAGACAACCAGGCTCCCATCTGTGGTTAGGTTTAGGCAACGAATCTGAACATGAAAGTCAGTTTCTAACCTTAACGGAGGATTTGACTGAGACTTCCAAAATAATATATGCGACTCATTATTGCACAGCACATATAAATTTTTCTAGTAATTCAGTAAGCCTGGGGGTATAGCTGATTGTTCACAAACAGGGAAGTCATCAAGGCAGACAAATGAATGGGGGATGGAGGGCTCCGCCTACCAAAGACCATCCTTCCCAGTGTGCTTTTGTCCCTTTTCCATCTGGATAGAACCGAATGGGTTCTACATCAAGATGTAATCCCACCTGTCTGTGTGTGTGTGTGTGTGTGTGTGTGTGTGCATGTGTGCGTGTGTGCGTGTGTGTGTGTGTGTGTAAAACACAGAGAGAAAGACTGAATGTGCATGGTATTTCTACTCTGCTCTGCCCAGGCAGACGGCCCCCTAATGTCAAATGACTGAGCGCCACTACACAGCAGTTGCTATGGTTACCAGCCAGGTTCTGTGTACACGGATACTCATCGCAATCTCGATCTGCAGTGAAGCACCGATGGCAGAGCAAGAGCCCCGCAAAAGAAAAACTAAATAATATTAATAACATAAGAATTCACCTACCCACCCACATGCACATACATACACACAAATCATGTTTACACTGTATGCAGTACATGTTGAGAAATACTTGCATACATGCACCCACGAATGTTAATTCCACCCACATGAGAAGATACTGTACTCACTTCACCTTCACGTAGCACTCACTTGAGTAAATACTCAGTTGTGCTGCATATCATTAGAGTGAGCAAGTAAGCAAACACAGCCTGCTGGGCAGAATTATCAGCCCCAGCACAAGTAGCACAAATCGCAGTAGGCGATACACTGGGATATCACTATGGCTAGAAACCCCTCTAAAGCAGCCGGTGCTTTATTTCTCCCTGACTGTCACAACCACTCTGTTTTACTCTCAATCTGCCCGTCTTTCTCTCTGTTGGCGTGTCTCCCTATATGTTTCTTTGATTTATCTCTCACTCTCTCTCATATACACACACACACACCAATGTACATACAGGGCAGATTGGGAGCACTCAGTCAGAGCAGGAGATGAAAGGGAAGAGGGAGCTGTGTCCATGCCAATGGAGCTGTGTGAGTGGGGAAGTGATGAAAGAGAGGCTCATTTAGTAAATTGACAGTTCCCTTCGGGATTCTTCATCTTCTTCCCCATGAAAGGCCTGAATCTTTCTCAACTGCGAGCTATTCTCACCAGGCATGAGGAAGATGTCATATTCCAGCAAACATTAACAATGTCAGTATTTTAGTTTGGATCCATCTCTCTCCTCACTCCCACTGCTGCTCCATTCAATCCACAGATGCACAGCAGATGTCTGTGCAAAACACACCTACTTTTCATACGCTGATGTAAAATGAGATGTAAAATGAGCACTAGATGCTCCCTGACTAACATACAAATGCAATGTGTTTCATTATTATTATTATTATTATTATTATTATAGTTCTGTCGTAAAATTCTTGAGCTACCCATCAGTATTTTTAAATGGTCTTTAGCAATAGTTCTTTAGGCTTTGTGAAGGTCATTGAAAGTTTTTCTTTGTACATCTAGTCTAGTCCGTGTCTGTCCTTTTAGAAAAATGTGTTCTTTTTGGTAGTTAAGAAACTTAACATTGATGAATCATCCAGGCATAGAAAAGATATCTAACTTCAGGGATAATCCATCCAGTCTACACATGAAAGACAACTTAGCAAAGAATCAATTTTAAATTATATCTTTAGACATTTTGCTAGCAGTCTGTGCAAAAAACACATAATTTGCTCCTATTTCTGTAGCTGAATTTAAAACATAATTATTATCACAAATGATTACAAAAGCCCAGAAAAAGAAACTGTGGTAGTCCACAAAAAAAAACAAAAAAAAAACAACCTCAGCAATGAAAATATTTACACACAAATTTGAGCTGATACACTAATCAAGCATAACATTCAACTACTAAAACACATTTCTGTCTTCAGAAATATAAGTAAATACTAAGTAAACTGGAATTTGGCATGTTAATCTAAAAAAATAAAATAATGTGCTCTAGGTTTTTTTCAGCTTTTCTATAAAACTTTACATTTGAAAAATTCATGGATAGTAATAATTATGTCTTAGCATTGAAAATATCATTTCGATTAAAGACCTTATGCATAATTGTGGATTAGCCATTACAGAAACATAAAAATTGATTTTTGGTCATAACCAGTACTGTTAATTTAGGGCAGCTGTGGCATAAACCTTACACCAGATGGTGGACTAATAAATAGTCTAAGCACCGTGTATACACTATGTTGCCCAACACTTAAATGGGCCTCAATTTTAATCAAGTGCTGTGAAGTCTTTCCATAACTCAGCCAGTCTAAAAGGTAACAGAGGTAGCATGCTGCTCATAGTTAACTCTCTGTGCTCAGACATTAGACTGTGTGTGGAGGACATATGGGTATGCTTATAGGGAGAACACATCAGCAACTGTGCTGGTGGAAAGACTTTTTTTTTCTTTTTAAAAATTAAAAGCTGTTTCTCTAAAGCTTTGTCATAGTAAAAATCAAACAACAGGAGAAACAAAAAGAGAATTTGACATCCTTTAGGATATGTATCCAACTTAACAGATACCTCACTACACAGACCAGCTAATTCTGTGCCAAACTATGGAAACTTGCAATATCTAAACAATGAAATTCTGAGGGTAAAAAAGGCGACTAAAAGCAACACAGGACAAGGAGTTTGTTTACTTCATAGTTCATTGTTAACAAACATTAACAAATCTTCCTCATATGCATCTAAGTATGTACATGCACACCCACACACAAAAATAAATGCAAACTCATATAGCAGAGTGAGCTGCAGTGGGCCACAGAAAGGACACTGTAGCACAAAAAAGGCCGGACAGTGCCAGCCAAATAGCCAACTGATGTTCAACTAGCCTCTGCTAGGATAAAATGAATTGCCCTACAGTATGTCTCCAGTGGGACTTGTATAAATAAGGTGAGGAAACGTGTACACGACAGTGGATTGTGCAGTGGATTTATCCAAAAGCCAACTTGATTGTGAACACTATGTGCAGTCCTTTTGCCAGAGGAAAGACCAAACTGTTGCACTTAGTTAACAGTGGCTGGGCCAAACGATTAATGTCAAAAAAGACCTGATGTATGTGTGTCTGGGTTTGGTATCTCACATGTTCATCCCCATCAGAAAAGCGAAAACTTACAAGAACTCTGCCAGTGAGTGTCTGAGCGGAGATCATGACACCGGCCCAGTCTTTGACTGAAGTCATCCATCCCACTTCATTGGCTGGCGCCTCCTCCTTCTCATCAGGGCCCTTTGGTGCTCTGTCGGCTGCCTGATTGTTGGCGGGGTTGTTCACCTTCTGAGCCTCCTAGAAAAAAAACAGAAACGAAATCTGAGTAGGCAAATTAAGGAAACCGACAGGAACACATTGTTGATTATAAGCAGATAAGTCAGTTTGTTTAACAACAACAAATTATACGTTATCCCCCACAGTAAGGCAATTTGTCATAATCCATTATTTCCACACTTCCCATTTAATGCCTATGTATCCTGGCAGCATCATGTTCATGTTCCTTCTAAGTGGCAAAACTTCGGGTTACTCACCGTATACCTGCATGAGCCTAAAATACTTCTGGGGATACTGCAACTTAACAGTTCTAAAAAAATAAAAAATAAAAATAAAAAAACCTGATAAAAACTTTCAAACTGGTTGTTGTGGATCTAAAATGATGGCACACTTAACAGCCCGCATGGCTTCCCACTTTTCAAACACATCTTGGTGAACGATTTCTATAATATATATCAAGGAAAGTTTGCAAAAGAGTAGCCATGTTAAAAGACTGTAGGAGATGGAGAGCATGTACTGTACGTAGTATAAGTTTCTGAACTTATGTATACCCTTAAAAAACTACACATTTCTTTAGGACAAAAAAAAAGGGTGTCACTGCACCCATCACGCCATCATAGCATCCATCTGCTACTATTAATGGTGAATATGTGTGTTCAAGTCAAATAACAAGATGTGTATGAGGCCACTCTAATTTTATTGCGCATATGGCATAATTGTTCCTCGGGGTAAACTGTTGTTCTCATGCAGCCCTTTTAATGTGCCTTCTCGTGTCTGGCTGAGTGAGCAGAGTTGCATGGCACTTCATTGACATGCTTTGTTTGGCACAGTCGCTGCATGCAGCTGTTCCTCTCTAGAAATTCGCTCATTCCTGATTTGATACAAGTAAGCACTCTGCTACCTTGTCCTTCTGCCAGAAAATGAAGCAAGTGGATTTCCTCCACTTTTGTCTTCCTGAAAGAAAAAAAAAAAACCTATATTCAGGCATAATAAATGGAGTCCATAGAGAATGCCTGGAATTGAAATAACTTTAAAGCCCCTGGATTATGTGGCATCGGTCCACTCTGTGGGAACAGCCTCATAGTGCACATGTAGCACTAGGAAAATATTTTACATGTCCCTTCTCACAGTGACATCTGACAAGTAGCCATCAGAGCAGATTATGTGCTATGTCAACAAAGTAAAATTAGTGTCCCTGTTGTGTAAGTGTGGGACGTTTGTTGTGATGACCCCATGAAATTCAAAAATGGTGACGAGTGAAAACTATAAGTGTTTACAGTGAGTTTATTCTTGTTTTTAAAACCCAACACATCATAATTCCTAGAACTTTATGAAGCAATAAAGACATGCAACCAAAAGCCAGCTGACCACTGAGGTGACCGATGCACACCCACATGTGATACGAAAACAAACCAGACTGCAACTTGAGTATTTCTGCAGGGCTAAAGAGCAGATGAGCCCAAGAGAGTGCTCTGTCCATTTCAAGAGGATTGTCTGGTTAAATTGGATTATATTTGATAATGATATGGCATGGACACAGCTGCCATTTTCCTAATTTCATTCTAACCCATAACAATGCCAATAAACTGACCCTAAAAAAGCCTGCCTTAGTCATAAGATTATTATCCAGCTCTGCCGTTGGGCCTCGCAGTACTCCAGTGGGTAATTCGGTTAGTTATGGTTTATATGCTCATTAAATGACTCAGCGTTTGGAGACTCACAAACTTTTAAAGTACCTATCGTGAAAGTGACGTGAAGCATTCAGCTTTGCTTTTGAGCACCACAAGAATTCAGTATTTCCGACAGGCTGCTATCAAGCACATTTAACATTTAGAAACTTTAGCTTAATATCATTTAAATAAATAACAGCCGGTTCAGGCATTTTATTTGGCAGAAAAAGTGAATGAGGCATTGACCTGAGACAGATATAGCCTGGTTCAAAGTTAAGTGCTGTGTTTGTTCTAATAGATAATTATCGTCCACTTCACCAGCCTGCGTTCAATATTTTTGTTCAACACAAGAGGTGCTATTGCTGTTTTGTTGTTCCCTTTCTTAAAAGTAATTAAAATAAATTAATATTACAATGCATTCTTAAACACAGTGGTTCAACAAAACCCATTGCAACGGTTTCTTATTCACCCATTTGTTAGCATACCAGTGGTATTTAAGGCTAAAGTAGCATGTGCAGGGGCTACTACCCCGTCTCATCCCACTCTTCCTCCTTAAGTCCTCCACTAATCACACCGTAACCAAGATATCTGAAAAAGTTATCAACGTTTTATAAAGTTCAAGCTCCCACCATGAAACTTTATTGTATAAGAGCTTACCGGATATGTCACACTGCAAACAGTTAAATACTTACATCTAACTGAATTTCTCCCACTCCCACTCATCCACTCACTTTATTGCATTGCCAGCATGCGACAAAGACCCAGGAAAATTTGTATACATGCACATACACATGTCACCATCCACAGGGATGTCTACGATTTCACTCTGACTGACACTTGATAGCACTCCAGACAGGGTGTGTGTTAGTCTATGCCCACCAGTTACTTCTCACCCAGAAGAGCCCCAAAACCTCACATGCTGCACAATTATACCGCAGCAGGAGCACAGCACATCACACCAGGACTACAGTGTGTCGTGCAAATGTCACATCGCTTGTTTCTGGCTCTCTTTGCCATTTGCAGTGTTGCTGTTTTTTTTTTGTTTGTTTGTTTTATTTTAAGCATGTTAAAAATCCCTGCAGTCATCTGTTTGGTCACAGTTGTGGCTTTACCTTCATGAATTACATTTCATACAAAATACAAACTGCACATTACATTTACTTTACAATGATTTCATTTCAAATGAAACAAGGATTTCCATCGTGTTACAAAATAACTGCTACTATTTTGTTTTTTCAATAATATATTATGTGAAGACCTCCATGGATGCCAGTTTAATCACAGGACAGTAGTTCTCATTACAGGGAGTGCAGAATTATTAGGCAAGTTGTATTTTTGAGGAATAATTTTATTATTGAACAACAACCATGTTCTCAATGAACCCAAAAAACTCATTAAT